AATTTGTCACTTAGCTTTTGCTAAGAGGACTTTTAAATTGCAGTAAGAGGCAAATGTGCCTTTTAGTTTAAATGTAATCCCCATATTTAAATGATCTGTAATGGCACAGTGTTCGAGTGGGAACACTATTGTTTCACAGTGGCCCCTGATGGTGACATGTGACATTTGTATTCAGGTCCTGTATTATCCATGTGGCTAAAGGGCTTCCAATTTCATTTCACAGCCAGAAGCCTGCAGAAAACACCAATTAACTTGCAGATCCCATTTGTCGACAAAACAGTCTCTTCCCAATGTCTGGCATCTGGCACTGCTCAACATTTAAGCAGAGCCTTGCAGCCTTCACGATCCCTGGGATGGGGCACAAAGTCAATTTTTCTCTCTTTTTTTACAGATTTTTTCATTTTTCCAGAGAACAAACAACTTGTATTTAATTTGTCATGGATGAATATTAATGAACTGCTGGTGCACTAAGATGGCACAGTCCATTTTCTTTCCTCTAGACTGCAAAGAAGGTTAACTGACCTTACCTTCCAATCAAAGATCTCAGCTCAACAGGCATCAGCAGATATTTGTGGTGCATTTCCATATCCCCCCCCCCGCATTTTACCAATGCAATTTAATTATAAGGCAAACCAAGGGGCTTCAGATAATTAATCACTATGACACACTGAAGTCTTCAACTGTGGTTACCAAGAGTTGCACGTGAAATTTATCTATCGAGACACTGTTTAAACAGCAATAAAATTCCAGGTCTGCTCCAAATTCTGCAAAGTGGAGTTCATGTCCTACTGTGGCAAGTTGGAAGTGTTCAACCAATGCATCACTGAAATCGTATTTAAATTCTTCTACTACGAGAAGTATATGAGCAAGCCTTGATCTTCCCAACAGTACACCTTCGGAATTCCATGAGCAGCATTTAGCTCACCCTATTCTTTGATGTACAACCAGGGAATATGCTGGGCATAATTATTATACTCTTACTCCCAATCTAAGGGATTTAAAAAACAACTACTTAGTTCTGTGCAAAGCTTTTTTTGTTAGCATGATGCTTCTCAGTTGTAAATTGATTATGAAATCAGGACTTTGTACTAACAGTTTGCCAAGTTCGTACTTAGACACAAAGTATTTTATTTGGGAGTCTTGAGTGGAGGTTTCAGTGGTTTAGTTTTAGGGTTTTTTTGGGTGTGGGGTGGGTTTTTTGTTGCTGCTGTTTTTAAATCAGCACCTTCAAACCCAATCTGACTTGTACTGAAGTCAACAATTTACCACAAACTTCAGCAGCAACTCTGATCAGAGCTGAGTGTGTCCTTCCAGTACCCTTGCCAATGCTCAATGCCAGGCAGGAAGCAACACTTAAGTTCTAATGAAAGGCTCAAGTGACCCAGTCAAGAAGCAAAGCTGAAGTTATTTAAGTATGCTTAAAAACCTATGCCAAGATGGAACTGACAAAGTGGCCATATGCCTAGCAGTTGGCAGACAGCATACCAGGGCGAGCAAGCAAGCCTTTATTAAGCAGAGTCTACATTCACATACTTTTTATGTCCTAAAATTCTCCATAACTACAATGCTAAATTTCTGCCTACCCGTGAAATAAATGAGAGCATAGACAAAACGTATTTTTTTAAAGACGCAGAAGTACGGCACTCCCAGATTACTGTGAACAGATAATCCAAGAAATTGAGTTTGCAAAGGCATGTCTCACTCCCTCTGTTGATATTTTGGTTCTCTGACATCATAGATGACAAGGAGACAGGATGCTATCATTATGTCACTCTGGAACATAATAATAGCCTTGCTCTTTTAAACTCAATGTCTGAATTACCTCTCCCACTACTAGCACAGATCGTGTGTTGCCAGAGCCATCCTGCTCTTCCTTCTGCAGCTTCCTATGATAACCCTGGTCTCCCTTAAAATCTCCTTGCTTTTGCACTTTCACTTTTTTCTTCTTTTTTTATTTTGAGATTTTCACATGGAAAAAGGGGCTTGTTTAATGTGAAAATAGTGAAACTCAAGGCAAAATCCTAGCAAAAACATTGCAGGAGCTTTTTCACATCAGGGAGGAGTGAAGCTGGAGAAATTCATCCAACTAGCAGCATTTTTGAGGGAACTTGCTAAACACCAGATTAAGGAATCCTACTGGAGAACAAATGGACAGTTTAGCAACGTAAGCACTATGTGGAGGTGGAAAAACCAAGTTCCACCCTACACCTACTGCACACCTGAAATGACTGAACAGTATTTGCAACTGAAACTGTGGTACGCAATCAACGCACTGTGCTACTATTAGAGGAGGCAGTTCAGGATCCTGAGGGTCTGCCTCAGACTGCAAATACAGCAGCTGAGGTAATGGTGAGGTTGATGGTTGCACTGCAGCTTTTTGGGAGTGGCACCTAGAATTCTGATTAAATAGAGGTAAACTGAATTCAGTTAATCCAAAAGCATTGCTTATCCAATGCTGCAGGCAGAAAGATTCCACCTCCTCTGCCTTCAGACAGGTGCTGTCAAGGAAATGATGTTAATATGAAATAGATGAAACAAGAGGAGCTGCTATGAAAATTTAACAAAACCTTTTATGTTTATTGACAGCATGTGGTAAGACTGCTACAGGTAACAGATGGAGAACACATTTCTGCCTCTCCCACCACCTACCAGCTCAACCCACATAAGCAGTGAAGCATGAGACCCTCCAGTTTTCAGTATGGTGGGATACAATTCTGCTGCATGTATGTCCAGCTAAGCCATGTGCCAACCAGCCAAGAGATCAGAAAAATAACACACTAAAACAGTTGTTACGCTTGTGGTTATAATCCACACTCTGAGAGAGCTTTGTCTGCTATGATGTTAAGGATTTTCAACACAGAAGTCTCTCATCTCAGCTAGACAGCTAACAGTTTATTAGCCTAATGCTTCATTTAGAGTGAGCATAATTTCTGCTAAATAGATTATATCCAGTTTTAGTCTCATCTGACTACGTGATCAATCATGGTCATCTTTGACCTCTAACAGTGCAAAACTTTAGTTTTATTCTTGACACTTTTCTAAATGAAGCATGTTATTCTTGCTTGGATTCAATTACATCTGGTTTTCTTTTGGACCTTTAAAGTACATTAAGAGTATTATGATCCTTGTTCCGTACACTCCATTACTTACACAACGTCTCACAGGGTATCATGTGCAAATTGTTGTTTGTTATTTAGTGTTTGTTTATTTATATGTTCTATGCCACACAAGTTAGGCATACCCATATTGACCAGAACACATCAAGACAGACTCCTTTAAGTCTGGACTTGAAATGTCTTTCCACAGGGAGAGTGAGAGCACAGGCTACTCCTCCAAGTTCCATGAATCACAAGGCAACTCCATTTAGGTCATGTGTCTTCAGCTTGCTTTAAAAAAGCCACCGAGACAAATGTATTAATGTTTTGAATGCTAAAACAGACATATTAATCCCTTCAATCACAGTCAGTGAATTATCTTTTGAGAAACAAATTAGATTTGCTGCTGTATGTTAAATAATTCAAGTTGTCTTTTACCCTCTACACACTTACATATCAAGTAGTTAGTAGTTTGCTACAGTACCTTATGCCTAGGAAAGAAACACTTGTGGTTACATGTTATCTTTCCACTTACATCCCCACCTCTAAAATACTGTTGACATTCACATTCAAGTTGTTTCGAATTTCCCTTCAGGTAACCCTAGGCATCAACACAGGCTGAGGGGTGAAGGGATTGAGAGCAGCCATGCTGAACAA